CAGCAATGTTGTCAGCCACGAGCAGCTTGCTCATTAGCATGAGTGGCTCATTAGCGTGACAACCCCCTCCTTCTACCACCGCAGTGGTGAGAGGTGGCGTATTGCTGCCTGACTGAGTTGCCTTTCCTGTACTGTACAAGGTCAATCAGGCATGAACTGGAGCAGCAGATCCTGCCTTTTTCCGCCCAGGGTTTGAATGGTGGCTGTACATATGTTTTCAAATATATTGTGCCGGTGTCACAGCAGCGAGTAAAGGTGTGTGGCTCTCAGCCCCCCTTTAAACTTTTAGAGCTCTAAGAGGGTGAAGTCTGTGCGAAACAGCTTGCTTATGGAGCCCTCTCACCTTGTCATTCAAGAAGTTGTAGACTTGCCGCAAGCAGAGTAAGATTGTATGTAAGGAAAACAGACTTCACCAAGGAGAGTGGTGTACCCTATAGAGGCTGTTTAATACTCAGGCAATCACACTGAATTGCTATTACTTTTATCTTCATTCATTCATCATTCATCCATTCTGTTAATATTAGCAACACCAAATACATTTGAATCGCTAAACAAATCAGAGATGTTGGTGGCATTTCAGAGGTCTGGAATAATTCCATAAGCTGTTTAAGGGCTCCAGCTAAGAGAGCCAGGGTTACAGCACATAACTCTTGTCTCTTCATGTTCCTTTGGGTCTGTGGCTAATTAAAAATAGTGCTATGATGACTATTATCTGTAACATTTGTAATTCAATGTAATTCAGTTGAGGCTCCACTGTGTACATTGTCTGCATCTGTGTCAAACATTTAGAGAGATAATCTTGGACTGTGAGTCATTTATTGTCAGTGTAACACACTGACTCACTTGACACTGCCAAGTGATAAAGGGGCATGGGAGTTAACACAGTGCCTGAGCTTTCACTCCATTGGAATAATGAAGTTTAAATCCCAAAGCAAATCCGTTCGTTGTTGCGTTACTGATGATAATGGTCTTTTTGATGAACATAGACAACTGTTAAGGAAGGTTTCTCATGATATCGCAGCTATCATTGAAGGGAAACGTTGTATATACACCACTTTCCATTTAGCCAAGTCGACTGTAATGAACCAGAGAAAGAAAGCCTCTCCTCACCTGACTCCAGCAGTCTTAGTAGCTTATTTGCATTTTAAAGATGCAACAATTTAATTCATTCACAATCTGGCACCTACCCACAGGTTAGTTAGGAGGTGTGGATACGTTTTTTTGTGCTTTAGAAAGTAACCTCCATAAAGGTGTTCTTCTGATTCACAGCTTTGTTCTCATTAACGTTGAACCTTCTCTTCATTCGCTTGACCACTGTTGCGCTCTCTCGCTTGCTCGTTGAGCCCGAGAGGAGCGGCGGAGTTTCATTGCTGTGTTTACAAACTGCAACCGACGACGTGACTACATATTATACCTTTAACACACACAGCCAAACTACAAGACACACTTACTGTCTCAATATTTACCTGAGGCTGTCTGAAATACTCAAGCTCACTTGTGGTAAACGAGCACCACTGAGACTGAAGGAGAAAGCAGATGCTTCAGGGGCACAGCAGCCTTCTAATGGAACTGCCAGTTGAAGGGCCTTTTAGCCAAATGATTGTTTTATTAAGTGCAAATGTCAACAAAGGTCTTGAAGCTACAGCCACCACAACAAACTTGAAATTCAAACTATCAAGAATACCCGCAAGCCCCGCTGCCAGGTGACAGGGTTCAAATGATTAAGTCTCAGTTCAGTCTGCAAAATAAGATCAGAAGATGAATATACCACTCAAACAGCAAAGTGCCCCAAGATGCAGGGGTGGGAGGCTGGGATGCAACAGGTCAATGTTACTTTCCAACAAGACCTGTGCGAGTAAAAGATTTATCGTGTTGCAGAAAATAAGACACTGACTATGTTATACATAGTAGCATCCTGGATATCATCAGAATGCAGACGGAGGGGGAAAACAATTATGACAAATTGCATAATGATGATTTACACACCAAAATGAAGTTAGAAATCTGACTAATCAGGATGATAAACTGATTGCTGGTCGCTTTTCTTTATCAATACTGGTGATCACATGGAGAAATATAGCATAGAGCGGTGAATGCAGCAGGCAGAGAGAAACCAAAGTGGGTAACTCAGTCGGTGCAGGAGTGACAGAGTGGCAGGGATGTTGAGGAGTCCATTCATGCTGCGCACATGAAATAAAAGCATGCATGCAGGGAGAATAGACCGTTTTTTTGGTGTGTTGCAGCTAAACATCATATCCTGATCAGAACATGGATAAAAAGAATAGCTGGGATATTATTTTGCATGTAAATGTCATGAGAAAAGCATGCAGATGAATAAGTTAAAAGTGAATATACAGTGTAAAACTATCATACATGGCAGAAACCCTAGATTGTTGTGGTCAATCAACCGTTACAAAAGGGATAATAATGTGGCTGAAGGGGGCTTGACTAAAATATTGATGTACTTGCTTAAAACTTAAATCTGCATTAGCAGATTTTTTTTGATGAAAACATGCCATAAACACAACACTGAGTTGGAGTCTTGTTTGTGTTCACCTGACAAATATAAATCCAATGTTCACTCTCTTGTAGCTCTGTTTTGCTCTCCACCAACTCCAGAAGCTGAAACTCTCAATACAAGGGGAACTGCAAAGTTGATGATGATTCTCTGGGTACTGAACTACGAAAGACAAGTTTCACATTACACATCGTCATTTGACCTATTGTTAATATAAAAATATTTATTATAGCACAGGGGTTCTCAACCTTAAATTCAGAGGACTACCTTCCCAAATAAACGACAAAAAAGCAGACCATGACCAAATAAATTTGTAAACTGTCAACTATAATGACCTAAATAAATATTCCTCTTACCCACACCACTGCCTGCTATTATCAATCCAGATTGAATGTATTCATATTTCCTCACCACACACTTTGGACTTGGAACTGATTAAACTTGTCTGAATCAGACAAGCTGCAGCATCATGCGACATCATCTTGGTCAGATTTCATCTTTGTCGTCGTCTCAAAGCAGCTTCATAATGAGAGGGGGGCAGACATGTGTCTGATGAGAGACATATTTTGCAGGATTAAAACCCAAATGCTGATGTCTTGGTTAACTTCCCGATATAGACAACAAGAGAGAGAGAGAGAACGCATGGAGCGCAGGAAAGCTCAAGGGGACAATTTTTTGGAGCCACTCCAAATCTGAAAGGAGCCAAGGCTGCTTCCCACCAGATGGCTGGAGCCAGCGAAGGAGGTGATCTGAACACAGGCAGACAAGCGTGGCTTTGGATAGCAGTTACAGTTTGCTCCACAGTAGGGTGTACTCCACATTTCAAAGTCCGCTGCTGGTCGAGCTAACTCCCCAACCGCTCATATAGACAGATACACAGGTATGTGTGCCATGCAATGGCAAAGGGGTGTCCATGTATCTACATGGCATTGTTGAAGAGAGGTGGGGAAATCTTAGTTTAATTCCTGATCATATCCAGTGAGCTAGTGCCACATATTATAAGTGTTCAACTGGGAAGCAGGTAGGGAAGTGAGGAGAATAATAATGTGTGTGTAATAAAGTCTTGTCTCTTATAGCTCTGTTCCAGCATGTTACTCTCGAGGAGTCATACTCTCAGCAACGTTAGTGGATAATTGACAGAAAGATTTGCTGGGAGATTAATTATGAGACCTCAAAGCGGCAAAGACATAAATATTTTATGTTTAATTAGATGCACTGTATAGAGTAATGCTGTGGGATAAATTACTGTTTGTCCAACCTCTTAGATATCCTCTCAGGAAATGTTGATAAATCAACTTCCCATTATGCAAAGTAAGAAGTGGGCAGCAGAGAGAGACGCTGTGCAAATGTTGTGAAATGTTTTGAGTAAAACATTTTTTTTATATTAGCTCGCATTCAGAATTTGTAATGCTTATTCTTCAGTAAACTATTCCTTCAGACCTTTTAAAATAAACATCTGCCCTCTCCTGGTTACAGGAGAGGGCAAAACCTGGGCACCTCCAGGTTTTAGGGGAGGTGTGTATGCATAATGAAATATGAAAATCAAAACCCATAAAAGATTTATTTTAAGCCAAGGTTGCATGGGTGTTCACTTAATAAGTTCTTATCAAACATCCTTTGATGTGATGAAACAGTGACTGGTTCTGTCCAGTATCTCTGCTGGTGTAATTCCACCTTTACCTAGTGAGGATACCCTCAATGAAGTGTGTCAAACAGACAGGAAAGTAGCCCACTAGAGCTGAAGAAACAGATAATTTGTCTTTGTGATTCCTCAACCCACACAGCCATCATCTGTTTTGATATCATTCAAGTTTACTCATTGATATTAAGCCATGGATTCGGGGTCCAGTTGTGGCAGATCAGTCAGTGCATAGCAAGCTCCTCACGGTGTGCATATGACTAAAGACAAACGACAGAACAGAAAAAAAAACTATTTTCTACTTGGGTGGCCATAACCCATGAGCAGTAGTGTCTTTTTCTAACTCAGTCTGGCACACCAAAAAGTCTTCTTTGGTCCAAGTCCCGGCATGTGAGACTATGGCTGTGACAGTGTTTACTGCATGCTTGAGGATCCATAATACCCTCGTGCTTAGCTGCAATGATCAATGGGTCGTTTGGTGCTGTGTTTGCCTCCCCCCCCCATTCCACACAGTCTGCCTCAGCACATAAACTTTAATATACTTGTGTCTTTACTCTCTTCATAATGTAGAAGGCTGCCTGTTTGAATAGGTCCCGCGCTGTTCATGCAAAGTACAGGGTCAGAATATGCAGATGGTTTTTTTGGTCCATTTTCCTGTACAGTCCTCAAAACCATGCACCTTTTTATACTACATATGCTAAAATAATTGTATCATACAGTCTGCAGGATGCAACATAACTAATAAGAGCATTTCATCTTTAAAGAGAACATGAGAGACATAAAAAAAATTACTATTGTAAACAAATATTCGTAAATATTCCAGTCATACAAAAAATACAAAATACAGAAATACATTTAAACAAAAGATTTGATCACTGATTTCATTTCATTGACCACGGTCATTAAATAAATATGTACAACAACAAATACTTCTAGTTTAAATTTAAACCTTGTTTCTCCACAATTTGTGTTGTTTGTTCGGCTAGAAGGAACTCTCCATCTTGACGACATCTTGGACTTTTCCATTCATGTCAGGCTCACTGGACAGAACCAGCTCCATTTCATGGCCAGGGGAGGGGACAGGGATTTTGTTGATCTTGGCAAAGCTCTGACTGATGTCCATGAATGTTTTATTTTTGGTCTCAGGGAGGACGACATAGAGGTAGATAGATCCCAAGACGCAGACCACCACAAACACCATGAAGGCGAAAGACTGCAGCTTCTCCTACACAAACAGAAAACACAGAACGATGAATTAGACAGATTCGATTCATCTGTGTCTAGATCCAGCGTACATTTTCAGAAAGAACTCTGTAAAAGGAATGAAAATATCAATATCAAGCACCAACAATTACCATAACTTCAAGAGTAAAATGAACTGACAGTTTAATTTCCCTAATTTGGATTGTCCTATTTTAGCATTATAAGCATTTGATGATTACTGCTCCCCCCCAAATCTGGCAATTTTTCACCCATCCTAAACTCTTGCCAACTCCAGAGAGACGTTTGTCTGTGACATCTGTTTTGTCATCTGTGTGTTATGCTGGGAACGGTATAACATCCTCACGATTTTCCACTTAAAAGGTCCTACAGGCGTGTGAATGAGGGTACGTGCAAGACATATCCGCTTCAGACTTTTGAACAATGTAAGTCTGAACGCCAACCTTGTCCAGTGTGCCAATAATAGAGATTAGTGACAGATTTAAAAATACATACTGACTGATTACCCAGAGGGGGATTTAGAGTTTGAGAATTTCTGTTTGTGTGTATGTGTGACATGGGAGGGGGGGGGGGGGGGGGGGGGGGGGGGGGG